GGGGGGAAGGAAAGAATTTCTGGAGGTGACATGGTGTTGGAAGAGGGCACAGCCTTTGGAATAAGGATGCCTGATTTTGAAACTTGGCTCCATTAGCCTACTTGAGCCTCTCGTGAGAAATGGGGTGATCAGAATGGCTGTTGTAAGACTGCAGTGGTAATGAGACAGGGTACACATTAAGGGAGGAGTAGAAGCTCTTGTGAATAGAAATACTAAAATAAGTGCTAGTTTTTACTGATCAGGAAGAGAGATGGAGATGAATGATTAGAGAGGAGGTAAGAGGTACGATAGCAAAGAGGAGAAAAGAAAGGAGGCAGAAAGGAGGCATGGCTAGCAAAGAGAGAGGGGGCCTGGGAGAGAGAAGAATTTCTCTTGTTGGATCATATAAGATAGAATTTCTTGTTTTTGTTTTGCTTTCTGGATCACATTCCAATAACTGTCGCCTTAGTTCCCTCCCTATAATGAAGTTTCAGATAATAAAGTATCTTTGGCGCTTACACCTTCTTCAACAAGAGAGAACCTATGCTGGGTTTGTTAAAAGTGTGTTCTACCATTTCAAAAACAGCTGATCTGAGGATTGAATTTAGTAATTCATAGCATTGCTTTTTTGGATGGTTCCCTGGAGAATGAAGTTTGGGGCAGCAGAAGGCAGGAACTGAAGTGATACTTCAGAACTCTATTACCAAACACATTCAGCAAGAGTACTCTGTGCATCTGTAACTTGATAACATTTTTGATGGCATCTGCTCACTGAAGGCACATTAAAAAAAACTTGTTCTGGGGCTTCCCTGGTGGCGCAGTGGTTGAGAGTCTGCCTGCCGATGCAGGGGACGCGGGTTCGTGCCCCGCTCCGGGAAGATCCCACATGCCGCGGAGCGGCTGGGCCCATGAGCCATGGCCGCTGAGCCTGCGCGTCCGGAGCCTGTGCTCCGCAACGGGAGGGGCCACAGCAGTGAGAGGCCCGCGTGCCGCAAAAAAAAAAAAAAAAAAAAAAAAATTTGTTCTGGAAAGAATGTGTGTATGTTAACAAATATTAGGTTGAGAACTGGAGCCTGGGTGAGAGTGATGCGATCACATATGCAGAGAATTTGAAGTTTACATGCACAGTTTGCAAGTTAAGCAGTTTAATGAATGGAACGATGAATGCATAATTTTATTGTCATCACTATTAAAATGAAAATTTGATAGATACATAACCAGAAAGTGTAGTTATTTGTCACAGATACAAGTGCTAATTATATTTTTGAGTATATAATTTATGCTCTGAATAATACAGAGAGTAACTGCTTTTGCCCTGTTGTGACTATTTTTCTAGGAACAATAGGAAAGTTAGTTTAGAAACTGCTTCCTTCCTGTTATATTCCTGTGAAAGCTGAAGCTGACTTACTCTGAAGTCCCAGTTTAGATCCATAAAAGAGACATTCTCTAGAATAAACGTGAAGTTTTAGGCTAGAAAGTAGTTAAAAGAAAACAGTTGATGGAAATCTGATATTTAAAGCACAGTGTCTGATTTCCAAGACAGAATGAAGTGCCTTTCATTTGTCTATAACACTTTTCATAAAGATTTTCCTTCTCATCAGAGATTTTTTAAAGTTTACTAATGGAATGAGAATTCCTAAAACTTTACAGTTATAGAATATATTCACACACATCATATTTGATCCTCAGAACAAAGCTACTGAGAGGCAGGGCAAATATTATTAGTTCCATTTCCATCTGGAGAAATGGAGGATGAGAGAGGTTAAATGATTTCCCCAAGATCACATAGCCTGTAAGTATGTCTTCTAACTCATAATCCAGTACTATTTTTATATCATGAAACTTTACACTTAGCTTCTAATATTTCTCCTAGAAATATCTAGAAATATAAGCACTAGAAGAATTTTTTAAAACTGTAAAAATGAAAAGTATAAATTGGAGCTTACCAGTAAATTTTTTTTCTCTTCCCATATTGCAAACATTCATGCCTGTTTTTTTATCTTTGGTTTTGCAGCTCTTTATATTTTTAAGGTCGAGTTGGTAAACCTTTTTAAAAGATAAACTATAGATTTTCAGAATTCTTCTAATTGCAGATTCAACACTGAATGTAATTCTATACTAATTGTGGCAGCTGAACAGGACTCTCTGATCTATGGGCTGTAGGTACAAACTCATCTAGTGAGGCCATGATTTGGATTTCTTTCTTGGATTCTTTGACTGTGTTTCTGTCTATCTTCATAAAAATTAGGAGGAAACCTCCCCTTCCATCAGCAGTTAGTCCTATCAGCAGGTTTCAAAAAGTTACCATTCTGTATGCATGTGGTTGAAATGGGAAAAGGAGGTAGGTGGTAATATAATATCCATGTTAATTGATTTACCTGAATTTTTGTAATAGGAGAAACATCCTCCTAACATCCCCCCTCCCACCACCAAACAGATAAAAATGCCTGAGCCCTCACCTGGATGCCCATGAGAAAGCACTGGCACAATCTAGTTTAACCAACTTTCTGAAGCCATCATTCTTTGGCTGAGCCATTGCATTTGGCAGACAGCTTATTGGGGCTGCATTTCCATCCTTCTGAAGCCTGTCAGGGGATTGGACATAAATCAGCTTTAAAATAAAGCATGAAATAGAGCAATAA